TGCCGGAGGGGCGCCCGGCAGCCGGGCCTCGACCCGGCCTCGCGGCGCTGGAGGAGGCGCCTACCAGCCGCGGCGCCGGAGCTGGCGCGTCGCCGGCTGCGCCGCGCTCGCCTCGCTCGTCTGCTTCCTCGGCCTGGGGCGCGGAGCCTGGCCTGGAGGAGGCCGCCTGGAGGTCGCGGCGCCGCTAGCGCCGCTCGTGAGGAACGATGGCGGCGGCAGCGGCGGCCGCTCGGCTGTCGCTCGACATCCCCGAGCCGCAGGTGGCGATCAACTTCGACGGGGACCCGAACTTCAGATGGCATGTGAGAGTGCTGCGGGTCCGCCTGGCGGATGGGCGCTGGGTGGGCTGGGCGCCAGACCTGGACGTGGTCGTGGTGAACCTGACCGACCACATCGTGGTGCCGATCCCGAGGCGGGCGCCAGCGCCTGCGCGCGTGCGCGGGAACCTGTGCGCGGCGGACGCTCTGACGGACGAGGAGCTGGCGGCAGTGAGGCTCGAGGCGGACGCGCTGGGCAACGTGCTGGGAGTCGCGCCAGCGGGGCCGGGAGCGGCGGCGGCCGCCGCCGGTTTGGCGGCCGATTGGCGTTTCGCAGACACGGCGTACGAGAAGTTCGGGGAGACAATGCCGGCGGATATCGCCAGAAACCCGCTGAGGTTGTAGGCGAAGGGGGCCGCTGGGCTCGCGGAGGTGGAGGAGGACGGGGGGGCCTTCTGGACGTTCGTGGAGAAGGTCGGCGACCAGGATCTCGACGAGTGGCACAAGGAGAAGAGGTCGGGGCCCGGACGGGACCCGCGGGTGCTCTCGGTGAAGCGCGAGGTCGGCCGAGCGAGGTACCTCTCGATGCGGGAGGGGCTAGCCCAAATGAGGTTCTTCGAGACTGGGAAGGCGCCGGGCGACTTGCCGTTCCCCGCGGCGGCGCCGTCCGCGATCCGCGAGGTGCTGCTGGCGGCGAGGGCGGCGAAGGAGGAGCTGGCGGGGTTCCACGACTACTGGGTGCGCGCGTCGGGGGTGAACCCCGATTCGCCAGTGGCGATGAAGCACAGGGACCTGATGGCGATCCCCCACCACGTGCTGAGCTTCGACCAGCTGAACCTTGGGCAGCTCTCGTCCGCGGAGATGATCGGCCGCCTAATTCTCCAGATTCATCAGGCGACGAGGCGGAACCCCAAGAACCCCGATTTCCGCGGGGCCGAGCTGATGACCATGTCGACCCTGGACTCGTCTGGTGGAGTGCTCTCGGGAGAGTTCGCGCGCTGGACGGCCGAGGAGCAGAAGACAGCGGCCTTCGCCATGAAGCAGCAGCGCCTGTACCAGGAGGAGGAGGAGGACAAACGCCGTGGCAACAAGGACAAGGACAAGAACAACAAGGACAAGGACAAGGACAAAGGCTAGCCTCGTCAGTCGAGGCGTTCTGGTGCTCTCCTCCAGAGGCGTCGTCATGGTCGTCGGGGGCGGGCCGTTTCCGCTGCCGCTTCGCCTTCGACAGGCGGCGGAGTGTCGGGGTGGCGTTCGCCATCTTGCTCGGCAGCAGCGCCAGCGGGCTAAGACCGAGTCGCTGGTCGAAGGGGCCGTGGCGTCACTCAACGCCCTGGCGCGCTGCCAGCCGGGAAGGTTTCTTCGTGCTGAGGAGCCTCGCCGTCTTTTTGATGCTGATATCGCGCCCCTGCAGGACGCGATGTTATGCAACGTTGCCAGAGCAGCTGAGCAGTTCGTGCCTGCGCCCGCCGTCGCGGAGGAGCTCCCCGGGGGCGCTCTGGCCGAGCTGGTGCAGTGTAAATCTACGACCTGGACGAGAATGCCGCCCAGGCTGACTACGACCCCTCGAAGCTCAAAGTTCTCGAGCGGACCTCCGCGCCGCTGGGCGCCTTGGACGTGGTGGGCGACGAGTGCCGCAGGTACCTCGAGGACCCAGACAACCTCATCGTCCTCCCGCCCGACGAGCTCGCCTCGGTCGACGCGCCGGTCAAGGCGCACTGGGACAAGCAGTTCGCGCGACCGAGCGCGGCTCGGCGCGACTTCATCCGGCGCCTCGATAGGGGCGGGCTCGTGGCCTGGCGGCTCCGCGCCCGCGCGGAGTGCGGGGCCTTCTTCGTCAAGAAGAAGGAGGGCGCGATCAGGCTGGTCCTGGGCTGCCGCCCGACGAACCAACTCCACCGTCGGGCCCCCAAGTCGCACCTGGCGACGCCTGGGGCGTTGGGAGACCTCGTGCTCTCGGACGAGTGGTGCGAGCTCTCGGCGGAAGCGCTTGGATTCGAAGGCGGGTCCGACGCGCCGCTGGAGGTCGCCTGCGCTGGTATGGACCTCAAGGGCGGCTTCTACCAGTTCAGGGTGGACTCCGTCGCCAGCTGGTTCTCGCTCGGGGAGTCCTTCACCGCCGCCGAGGCCGGGGTCGCCTCCGTCTACAGCGACGAGAAGGCGGGCTACGTGGAGGTCGGCCCAGAAGACCGCCTCTGGGCTTGCTTTGGCGGGCTGCCGATGGGCTGGAGCTGGGCGCTGTTCTTCTGCCACGGCGCGCTTGAGGCAGCGGCCCGCCGGGCTCTCGTCAGCCTCGGCCAGCCCGCGGCCACGCTCGCCGACTGGGGCCCGCCGCCGCCCTTCTGCCGCGACTCGGTGGTCATCGCGCCGTACGTTGACAACGGGAACATCATCGCTGGATCGCCAGAGGCCGCGCGGCGTGGCTACGACGCCTTCCGCTCCGAGCTGCTGCGGCTCGGGTTCGTCCTCCACGAGGAGCAGGAGCCCCAACCCGACTTCGAGCTCGTGGGCCGCGAGATCCGCGGGAGGAGGCGCATGCTGCTACCCCGGCGGCGGCGCATGTGGCGGCTGTGGTTCGCGCTCGACGAGCTCCTCCGCCGGCCAGCGCTGGCGCCGTCGCAGATGCGCCGCGTGGTTGGGCACCTCGTCGACCACTTCTCGGCGCGGCGGGAGCTGCTCTCTAGCCTCTGCTTCATCTACCGCTTCATCGGCGACGGGGCGGGGCCCGCGAGGAGGCTCGACGCCGCGACTCTGGAGGAGCTCCGCATTATCCAGGGCCTGCTGCCGCTCGCCGTCGTGGAGCTCGGGCGGAGCATTGCTGGCGTGGCGTACTGCTCCGACGCCTCTGAGCATGGTTTCGCCGTCCACCGCACCCTCGTCTCCGCCCGCGAGGCTTGGGGGGCCGCGCAGTTCCATGGGCGATGGCGTTTTCAGGAGCCGGAGCCTGACTCGCTCGGGCTCGACCGCCGGCGAGAGCTCCAGGGCGCGCTGGCGGGCGGCCCCGAGGCGGTGCTGGAGGGCGCCTTCACCGATTTTGCGCGCGACTACCTGCTGCGCGACGTCGCCGACGCGGGGGCGCGGTTCGTGCCCGAGTGCCAGCCGCTGGTGGAGGTCGTGGGGCGCGCCCCGACCTTCAGCGCCTCTTGGGGCGATCCGCGGCGGTGGGAAGCCATGGTCATTGGCAAGTGGAGGCAGCCAGACAAGATCCACAACCTTGAAGCCCGGGCCGCGATCATGGGGCTCGAGGAGTATTGCAGCGACCCGAACCACCACTCGTCCGTCGTCTTGTCGCTCGGCGACAACATGCCAGAGGTCCTGGCCACAGGGCGAGGAAGGTCGCGCACGTGGGACCTCCTGGCGCTGGTCAGACGCGCTGGAGCCTGGCAGGTGGCCGCCGACGCGCGCTGGGCGCGGCGCCACATCGAGACGCACCGCAACCCCAGCGATTACGGCAGCAGGCTGCCCCACCTCCGCCCAGGCGGGGTCCGGCGCGGCGCGGCGGCTCGCCAGCTGGGCGCCGGGCGGCCGAGGGCCGCGCTCCTCGGCGCGCCAGACAGCCTCCCTAGCGGATCTGGCGCGGGAGCGGCGTGTTCTGGGCGACATTGGCAGGAACAGCCGTTTTCCCTAACAAATCATAGGGTCGGCACCAAATTGGCCCGATGTGATGGACATGGCCATTTTGGGCCGGACCCCGTGTTTTGTCGGTCAGAACGCGCATCAGCCACAGATGCCGCACGGAGCTGGCCAGGTCAGCTTGCCCTCGGCGCCGACGCCCTTGGCACCCCCGCCCGCGGGCCAGATCTGCTCGAGCGGGAGCCCCCAGGCCGTCGCCGGCGAGGCAGGCCGCCGCGGGAGCCTTGCGACCGCCGGCCGCCTCGGCAGCAGCAATACTTCTTGGAGCTCTTCGCGGGCTGCATGCAGCTCACCGCCTGCGTCGCCGCGCTCGGCCTGGCCGTCGCCGTGCCAGTCGACCTCGAGTTGGGGCCGCACTTCGACGTCAGCCGCCGCGAGGTCGCAGACGTCATCGTCGGCTGGATCGAGGCTGGGCTGGTCTGGCCGTCGCCCTGGGCACGCCTTGCACGCGCTGGAGCGCAGCCAGGCACGCTCGGCGCGAGGGGGCCGTTGGTCGCGCCGGGTTGGCCTTCGCGCGGTTTACCGTGCGCGTGCTGGACGCTTGCGCTCGGCATGGCGCGCGCGTGGTCTTGGAGAACCCGCGGGCGTCGCGGCTCTGGCAGTGGCGGCCGCTCGCGCGCCAGCTCCGCCGGCTCAAGTGCGAGCGCCACTTGGTCGACCAGTGCGCTTACGGAGCCGCGTGGAAGAAGCCGACCGGGCTCGCCTCGAACATCGAGCACTTCGGCTCCGTGGCGCGACGATGCCCAGGCTGCCGACAGCACGTCGTTCTCCAGGGCAATGTGCGCCATCCTTCCTCCTGGGGTTGGCGGTGGCGGACGTCGCTGGCTGCTGCGTGCCCTCCTGACCTGTGCAGGGCTGTTGCAGGAGTGCTGCGGGATGCCGCTCCGACGCGGGCGCGGCGCTGCCCCGGCCGCCCCTGTTTGGAGGCCCGCTGGGAGAACGCGCTCCTTAGGGCAGTCGGCTCCGCCGACGGCCGACAGTGTCTGGCGCCCCCGGCGGCCCCGAGACACGCGCGGCTCGAGTGGGAGGGGGCGGACCAGCATTGGGACGGGCTCGACCTTGGCGCCGAGCTTGGCATCCTTGAGCAGCACCGGCGCTAGCGGCCGTCAGCGGCGCCGTGGGCAGCGCGCCCGGCGTCGCGACATCAACGAGCCAGGGTTCCTGCGCAAGCTCGCGGTTACGGCCGCGCCCCGCAAGCGGTGCGAGCAGTGCTACGCCGCGGTTGCGCGCGCGGTCGGGCGCCTGCCCAAGAAGGACGACTGCGACGCCTGGGGCCGCATCATGGTGGACTACGCGGAGGACCTCTACCGCGCCGGCGACACGGTCACCGCTGCGAGGTACGCGTTCCACGGGGTCGCGCTCGTCAACGACTGGCCTCGGCGCTCCCCAGACTTGCTGCCCAAGACTCGGCTGTCCATTCTGGCCTTCGCTAGGTCGCCCCCAGAGCGCTGCCGGGACCCGCCTGCGATCGAGCTCGTGCTGCTCGTGCTCAACTACTTCCTCGACCGGGCGGTGGGCGAGGATTGCTTGCGCATGGCCCTCATGGCCGCCCACGGGGCCATCAGTTTTGATTGCTACCTGCGGCCGTCCGAGGGCCTCGAGATCACCGCTGGAGCCGTGGGGCGACCGCGCCGGGGCGCGGCCGCGCAGGGCTGGACCATCAACGTGGCGCCAGCGGGGGTCGACGCCAAGCCGGCGAAGTACCGCCGCTTCGATGCCAGCGTGCTCGTGGGCGCCCATGACAGGCAGTGGTCTGCGAGGTGCTGGAGCTCCTGGTGGCCGACCTCCAGCCGAACGATCGGGTGTTCAGGATGCTCAAGCTGCCCGACCTCGAGAAGGAGTATCGGGCTGCTTCAGGCGCGCTCGGGTTCCGCGCGGTTCCTCACGGGCTGCGGCATGCTGGTCCGTCTCACGACGCCGTGGTCCACAAGGTAAAAATAGAGGACGGGCAAGCACGCGGGCGCTGGGCCTCTCTGGAATCGTGCCGGGTCTACACGAAGCCAGCGACCTTGGTGCGGTCACTGAACGCCGTGAGCGACGACCTCCTGGACCGCGCTGGTGCCCTGAAGGCGACCTTCAGCCGGAGGCTCCTGAGCGTGCTCCGCGAGGGGCTTGGAGTCTCGCCCAGCCGAGGCGGACTCAAGCGCAGGCCTGCGAGTGCTGGTGTATAGTGGGGCCGTCTCCGGCAGAGACGGCTAGCTGCGCGGTGTGCGACCGCCCAGGCACTTCGCTCGCAGCGCGGGCGCCGGCATCCAGGAAAAGCGCATGTCATCGCCGAGCGGTCGCTCTTTCCGCCGAGGCCGAGGCACGTGGGACGGTTGGGTTGTTGAAAGTGCCTGCACCCTATAACCCTCGCGAAAGTGCCTCCGCAGCCTTTTTCTCGCCCGTCTCCCTCCTTCTTCCTCCCTCTCCTTTTTGAACTTACGCTCTTTCACGTAATTAGTTGCTCAGCCGCTTCGCGCTCGTGCCTCCTGTGCGCGCGGGGCCCAGCGGTTTCTTCCAATGGTGTATAGTGGGGCCGTCTCCGGCAGAGACGGCTAGCTGCGCGGTGTGCGACCGCCCAGGCACTTCGCTCGCAGCGCGGGCGCCGGCATCCAGGACAAGCGCATGTCATCGCCGAGCAGTCGCTCTTTCCGCCGAGGCCGAGGCACGTGGGACGGTTGGGTTGTAGTCGTAGTCGTAGTCGTAGTCGTAGTCGTAGTCGTAGTCGTAGTCGTAGTCGTAGTCGTAGTAGTAGTAGTAGTAGTAGTAGTAGTAGTAGTAGTAGTAGTAGTAGTAGTAGCAGTAGCAGTAGCAGTAGCAGTAGTCGTAGTCGTAGTCGTAGTCGTAGTCGTAGTCGTAGTCGTAGTCGTAGTCAGTAGTAGTAGTAGTAGTAGTAGTAGTAGTAGTAGTAGTAGTAGTAGTAGTAGTAGTAGTAGTAGTAGTAGTAGTGTAAGTAGTAGTAGTAGTAGTAGTAGTAGTAGTAGTAGTAGTAGTAGTAGTAGTAGTAGTAGTAGTAGTAGTAGTAGTAGTAGTAGTAGTAGTAGTAGTAGTCGTAGTAGTAGTCGTAGTAGTAGTCGTAAGTCGTAGTCGTAGTCGTCGTCGTCGTCGTCGTCGTCGTAGTCGTAGTCGTAGTAGTCGTAGTCGTAGTCGTAGTCGTAGTCGTAGTGTAGTCGCAGTCGCAGTCGCAGTCGCAGTCGCAGTCGTAGTTGTAGTCGTAGTCGTAGTCCGTAGTCGTAGTCGTAGTAGTAGTAGTAGTAGTAGTAGTAGTAGTAGTAGTAGTAGTAGTAGAGTAGTAGTAGTAGTAGTAGTAGTAGTAGTAGTAGTGGTAGTAGTAGTAGTAGTAGTAGTAGTAGTAGTAGTAGTAGTAGTAGCAGTAGCAGTAGCAGTAGCAGTAGCAGTAGCAGTAGCAGTAGCAGTAGCAGTAGCAGTAGCAGTAGTAGGGAGGAGGAGGACGAGGAGGAGGAGCGTGAGTAGCATCAGCATACGTAGCAGCAGCACGAGGTACAGGAGGATGAGCTTGTGAAGGAGGAGACGGAAAAGGAACAAGGAACTGAGAGGATGGAGAATACGTTGGAGGAGAATGGAAGTGACCAGCGCCTTTCCGTATCACCCCCTCGCCAACGTCCATCATCCATATGTGTGTTTGTGTGTGTGGCTTTCCATGTGAGCTAAATTCGGCGTATGCTATCTTCTAGCTCAACGCCTTACACGGCCGAGAGCTGGCGGACGGGTTGGCGCTGGAGTGGCGCACCAATCGAACCGCCGCTTCGCCACCATGTGCTGGTTGCGCGGATCGCCCCGATCCCGATGGCATTACATGCTAGAGGCAGGGTGGGGATTCCAGAAATGTCTGTGGGATCGCCGTTGAGCCGCCTGCTATGTTCAGCCTGGGGCTGCCCAGATCGAGAGTTGCCCCAGGGGCGGTGCCGCTGCACACCTGTGGAGAGCTGCTCCAGGAAGTCTTCACAGACATCGACAATGGAGCACATGATTTTGCCGCGACCCCTGCGCCCACTAATCGTCAGTCGCTGTGGATTGCACGTGTTACGACGACGTTCGTGTCCCATCGGTGGATGTGCTGCACCTGCGGCGCGGAGTCGACGCCTCCACCACCGACACCAGCCAGCACAAACGCCCACGCCCACTCCACCACCGACGCCGTCGCCAAGTCCGGCACCAACGCAGGCACCTCCTCCCGCACCGACGCCAGCACCGACTGCGGGATCACCATGGGCACCAAGCCCAGCAACAATCCCGGCGTTGACTCCCGCGCCGACGGCGGCACTGACCTCGGCATCACCACCAGTGCATCCGACCTGCGTGCCGGCCGTGGCCTCACCGACGCCGATATTGGCACTGACCACCAGCTTCACCTGCACGGCGATGGCCACGAGCTCCTCCCGACGGGAAGCACCGCCACTGGGACGGCGACGACCACCACGGAGGTGTTCATCCGTTCTCAGCACGCGTCCACGTATTGCCCAGACTGCCATGGGCCGGGTCTACTCATCCGTGGATGCAGCATGGTGGTCGGACGGGGCTAGGACGAGGATCAATTCGTTCCGAAACGTTTTCTCAGAAGGCCGCGGCGCCCGAGACATCTTCCAGAGCCGCCGTATCTCAGATATTCTCGATTTATCCTCACCCGATTTGATCCTCGTCGTGGCTTCGTCGTATGTTGGGGTGTGTATGACGCGGGCTTCGGTAAATGAGGGGACGATGCGTTTCTTGGCAATGCCAATGTGATCGCGACATCATCTGCGAACAGCTGCGTACATGCGAAGCCAGGAGGCGATTTCGAAATGAGCGCAACATGGTCGTGCGCGCGGAGGGGCGGTCGCGTTTGTCGCCGCGGCCGCTTGCATGGCTGCTTGAGCAGTGCCACATCCTCGCCCCGTACGACCCCCTCCCCCCTGCCTTCTCCCTCGCCACCGCACCCAGCGTGCACTCGTCTTTTCTGTGCGCCGTGCTCGCGCACTGGCGCGCGTCCTTGTCTCTCGAGGCCCAGTCGAGACTCTCTTCCGCGCTCTCGGCACTGCTCCACTGCACCCATCCGTCCATGCTCTGCTTCGGTGCCGCGGCGGGCGGCGACCCCGAGACGGGCGGGCGCCGCGGGAGCGCCTCGGTAGTCTGGTCCGCCTGCCAGGCAGACGTGCCTGCGCTGCAGCTTTGCTTCCGCTCACGGTGGCAGCCCGTGCCAAAAGACACTTGCTCGCCTCCAGAGTGCCCTGGGTTTCCTGGGCTTCGATGGCTTTGCGATGGAAAGCGTGGCGATCCCACGCCACAGAGCAATGGCAACGGGCGTCCTGGGGTCTCGGGGTCGGGTTTCTTGTGGAGTGTTTCTTGCGGTCGAGCTGCTACCGTACCAGTTGCGAGAGGAAGGGAAGGCGGCTCACGCAGCCGGTTTTAGGGAGGTAGAAGCATACCTCACGTTGGCCTGCTCCTCGATGTTTCGCTCGAGACCGGCCTCGCTCTCGATGCCACGCGGTTGTATTTGATAGCGCTTTGCTTTCCGCAGATGCTTGAGGCAAGTGCTCCGCATACCACATTCATGCGTTGGACACGTGTTCTGCAGCAAACAAGCGCCACCCGGTTGAGCAACATTTCGCTGAATCGTCAACTGCTGTTGCTGGGGCACATCGCACGGAAGCCGGCTGACAACCCAGTCAATAACATAGTCCTGCTCTTTTTTTCCTCCGAGTTGTCAGCAAAGGACTTCAAGTTGGAGCGGGGGTGTCTTATGACAATTTGGACCCACTCAGTTCTTGCCTACGATGTCTGGGCCACGGGGGGTGAGGAGGCCCTGCCGAGGCTCTGGCAAGACAGCGCAATCTCTTCCGCAGTCTGGTGCGCAGCCGTGTAGCGGTATTGCGACGCCCTTTAAGGCCACGGCATCTGTGCTTACGTATGTGTTTTGCAGTCGGCTTTCACTCTCTCTATCTCTATCTCTCTCGTTCTCTCTCTCTCTCTCTCGCCTTTTTATACTCCTCTGGGCGACCGACCAGAGAAGTGTGCGCCAGGCGGATTCGTCTCTGAGCGTGTTTCTTTTTGCTTTGGGCATAACGGGCGTTCTAGTCCCCGGCCCCCCCCCTAACGTAACGCCCCCCCCCCCCCCCAGTGCGCCCCGGGTTCTGCCGCCGTGCGCATCGGGATTTGCATAGGCGTCCGCGTAGGAATCCGCATAGGGGTCTGGTCCGCAGTCGTCGTCGTCGTGTCGTCGTCGTTGTCGTCGTCGTCGTCGTCGCCGCCGTCGTCGTCGTCGTCGTCGTCGTCGTCGTCGTCGTCGTCGTCGTCGCTCGTCGCTCGTCGCTCGTCGCTCATCGTCGTCGTGCGCGCGGACGCGGCTGGAGCCTGTTCCCCAATCAGAGCTTGCCTCTGTAGGGGTCTTAGCGGATTCGTGTGGTTAGGTTAGCCGCGCCGCCGATTTTGGCGGCCCGCCCGGGTGACCGGGTGCCCGGGAGCTGCGTCGCCGATTTCTGCGGTCCGCCCGGGTGCCCAGGTGCCCAGGTGCCCGGGTGCCTCATAGCCCTATAGCCGTATAGCCCTAAAGCCCTACAGCCCTATAGCCCTATAGGCCTATAGCCCTAGCCCTCTAGCCCTCTAGCCCTATAGCCCTCTAGCCCTGTAGCCCTCTAGCCCTCTAGCCCTCCTAACCCTCTTGCCCTAAAACCCTATAGCCCTATAGCCCAATATCCCTAGAGCCTTCTAGTCCAATAGCCCTATAGCCCTATAGCCTTGGCCCTATAACCCAACAGCCCAATTGCCCTATAGCCCTCTAGCCCTTTAGCCCTATAGCCCCAGAGCCCCAGAGCCCTACAGCCCTGTAGCCCCACAGCCCCCGAAAAGATTCTGATTGGGGTTTCTCTCCGGTATCATTTTTTAATGTCGGGCCGATGACGGCCGTCATTTGGGAGGGGGGACGGGGCCGAGAGCGTCACGTTTCGCGCCAGCGGCGTCTGGGAATGCTTAGGAATGACCGAGGACGGGTAGCAGCAGCATCTAGGTTTCGATCCACAACGCAGCGCCTGTGTACACCACAGTGCCTGCGTGCACCGCAGCGCCTGTGTATACCAAACAACCTATGTACACCACAGCAGCCGCGTGCAACACAGCGGCATTGTGTGCCACCGTGCCTGCGGGCACCACAGCGCTTGTGTACACCACAGC